TGAAACAGCTGTTTATTGTTTTGATGCAATTTGGTGCAACTACAACAGATTACATATAAAAGAACATTTATTTATGATGGCAAAAACCGCAATAAACTATGTCAAAGAAACAACGAATAATGAGAAGAAATCTGCGAGTGGATTAAATGTATTCGCTGTTTATTATTTCACTACATAATTGTGTGCCTTTTTATTTAATTTCGATATTTTATCTCCCCAAATTCATAAAGTGGCTAGTTATTTTACGATTTGCTCCTACACCTTTATTTCTTCCTTCAAATCCATGGCATAATTATACAAGGTAGTCTCATGCAGTCATATGTTTCCAATTTTTTCATAAATTATACGGATTGTACGTGTTTAATAGCAAAAATTGCTAACTTATTTATATTTATAAATATTTTGAAGTTCTCTGCCACTAACATTTCTAAATATATGTTGTAAAAACCATGGTTAAATCTTGAGAGCAACGTTCAGATTTAGGGAATATATTTTGTTTAATATATTGAAAAAATGTCAATCGACATACATAAAATTTTATGGAATTTATTTTTCATTTTATTTGAAATTTATCCATGAATTCCATATTAAAAAGGGTTACCATTATAAATTTCTCAAATGAGACTACCTTGCATAATTATGCCATGCTTCAAACCATGCACACGATAATCTTGGAAAGAAAAAAAAATATATACATATATTTGTAGCTTTATTATTGTTCTTTCATAATTTTTATTTGAGTTTTTGACTGTTATGCTCATCAGGCAAATTAGTTTTTTCCATAATTTCTAATATTTTTTCTTGAGAGACAGATCCTCACCTAAAATGTATGTATTTCACCTCCAAAATGCATCGAACTCGGCTTCAATATCAAAGACATAGAAACTGTGAAGACGCGACAAAATGCATTTTGACAAAAAAGTTTATAAATATCCAGGGGGGAATCAGGAATAACAGAGACATGTTAACAATAAAAACGCCAATACGCGATAATGTGTTTATAAAATGTAAAGAAAATCCGAGATCTGCACTCAAAATATATTTTTTTATTTAATATGCTTGCTCTGTCTGTTAACTCGATATTTGTTTACACAAAAATCCAGTAAAAGAGAGTCAAGTGAGAGAGCAAGTTTGAAAGTTGAACAACAACAAAGTTGCTTTAGTTTACTGAAAGAATTTTATTCAGTAAGATTTTGCAACTCAGCCATTGCACTATAGGTAATTTGGACAGTTTTTGGGCAAAAAGTCATTTTTTCAATTTTGGAAAATAAAATCTTTTTTGATGTCATTAAAAAGAAAACATGTCAAATATTATGAATCTGTAAGATTTTTTGCGTAAAAGTGTCTTAAAGGCGGTGAAAATCGTTGCCAAACTCTAAACTTTGAAAATAAAATTAAAGAAATAAAAAAATTTAATAAATCAAGTCGTATTTTAAACCGTTTAAAACCTCTAAACTCAAAGCATAAACATAAAAATTAAACATGGAGAGTATTAACGGTGGTGTGCGCTATTTATTTAATACATGATATTTGTTAATACGTTTGTGTAGCGATTCAAAATTTACATATTTGACTATAATAAAAGAAATTTTTCTATTTTTTACACATAAGTCATTTTAGATAGACTTTTACTAAAATGTTTAAATTTGTCTGATCTTTTGACAACTGAAATATATAAATGAAAGTCTTCTAAATTGATTCCAATAGGTCTCAAATTGCGATTTTTTGCGTTTTTCAAGATATACCAGTTTTTTGTAGGGAACTTCAGGATAAAAAAAAAATAATATTTTCAATATTTGGTTTGATGAAAGAAATAAAAGTAAGGAAATATATAGTTGTTCACAACGTCCCCGCAAGTAAAATTGCCAATAACAACAATATGGACGAAAAATACGTCAAATTAAAATAGGAAATTAGGTTATTTTGCATGCATTTGTCAAGATGCACCGAATGACATAAGAAGATAGAACTTTTCCGCGAAAAAACGAATACGCACGAATTTTGATTACAAAACAAATAACGGGACTCTTAATCCGCAAATAAGTTGTCGAAGGAAAGATTATGAGAAAAAAATCTAAATAGTGAAGAACAGAAAATGGCGGGGTTGAGTTCCCCCTTAGAATATAAACCATCAAACATTTACTTTTTTCAGGATTGATTAAAAATAAAAAAGTGGCATATAAAAAAAATTTGTTCAGTATATCCAGTGTTTACTATAATCGTGTTCGACTGTAGTAAGCATGGTTTTATCTCACTTTTACATATTAATGTCCTTAAGGAGTATTAGTGGGTACTGTATTAATAGTTATTAATGCATTCTGCAAAAACATACGACATTGTAATAATTATACCTTTAAAAATTTAATCGCGGGGTCGAAATTTTATTAGATTACTACTCTAATCGTTTTCAATCGTTTGTTGTGTATAAAACAACTAATGAAAATATCTGAAAAGTATTAGCTTTGTTCGTTATATGTGTAGTTGCTTATAACCGTTGTTCGTTATATCCGGTTTTTACTGTAGAAATCTGCGTTTTCTCTTTCTTGTACATATACATCATTTAAAAAGTCAAAAAATCGTTTAAAACCGCTGTTATTATTTTTTTCCTAAAAACAGGGCAAATTACCTATAGTGCATTGTGACCAAACACAAAAATTATTTAAAACAGTTTTTTTTTAATTTGCAAAGTTCAATTTGAAGTTACCCAGTAGTTCGAGTAACTGGTTATGAACTGGTTATTTTACTAATTACCTGTAACTACCACTAGTTACCTCTTCATGCCCTAGACTGGTGAATTTAACATGGGTATGTCATTGGGGAAGTCAATTGTCCCCTGCCTGCATTACCAGTATACAGTCATTTCGGTAGTAAAAAATGGTTGTATATTTGACTAGTTACTTATGTATAGAAAATTAGATGTATAACAGTTTGAAAAATTACAATTTATTCTCTACAAAAATATTTGTTATAACATAGTATTGTATACATATATATTGTTTGATTCATCTCAAAGTCCCTAGTTCACGATTCTTTTGACGGCCGAGGGCTTTTCAAATATGTTTCCCTGGCTAAATAGATTTATCTGAAATAGACGATTTAGAAACAGTTGAAGTTAGAAGTCCTACATAAAGCTTTTTTTGTTATAGAAAACTTACCTATAGAAAATCGGCAGTATACCCCTTGAGCGACACATCTTCGTGTATCGCTATTAAATGTTCACAGAAGGCATGTCAATACTCCTTTAGACTTCTGAAATCTGGAAATGAAGCCCGTAGAAAGATTACATTGGTCTATATTGTGTTACAAAAAACTTACCTCCGATTTATCATCTGTATTTTATTTGAATATTGAAAATATATTTTTGCGGAAAACACATTTCTATTCGATTTTTGCTTTTAAAATTCCGAAAATTTCTATAATGTCTAAACAGAATGACAAAACAATTGTTCTGTTTTGTTTTGTATTCATACTTGATTCATTACCCTTTGCATTACCAGTAACTACTGAATTGGAATGATATACCTAGACAACTTTTTCAATCGACAAATAAATCCAACAGTCAATTTTGTGTCCCTTTTTGGGGTATAAAGTAACTAGATCTCCAAGTAACTAGTTATATAACTATATATCAGCAGACAATGGATATTTTTTGAACAACTGGGTAATTACAAAAAATGGAAGAAAATTCGTAAGTAATGCAAAGTTTCATTAAATTAGGAATTAATTCCTTATATATTTTTAGGCAAGTTCCAGATAGAGGGCAATGTATTGATGCAGGGAGCTCAAATGTTCCCGGGGAACATACCAGATCAATTTTTCTTTTATTATTCTTTTTATTTTTAATATTAAATGAAATACAAATAATTGTGTTCGTCCTTTGTTTGTTGTTTATTTTGGCGCAAATCAAATGTTTTCTTGAATCAGCTGTTTATTTGCTAAATCTTACTAAATGTTGTCTGTTTACTTTTTTCAGTATTATTGCAAAAGAGAGTAAGAAGGGCTTACTCTCTGAACTAGAACATACTGAATAAATGTTACTGGAAAAGTAACCAGACACAACTATTGTTCGCTCTATTGTTTTGATATCGTAACAACAGAGGAAAAGCCATATATTGGTATTTGTCGACGTATCAATTGTCGTATCTTTATACTTTTATGTCTTTGTCAATATTCCTTTTTGCCTTTATACATTTCGTGGCAATATTTGGTTGAGCATGCATGCGTTATCAATGGCATTTTATTTGTTGTTTTCGAGATAAATTTGCATACAATCATTTATAATATTCATAAAAATATTTATTACTTACGATTTTGTAGGCAGCTCCCTTCAAATTTATTAGCGAAAAATTTCGTACAAAATGTCATCTAATTCTTCCACTCCCTATAATCAAGAATAACTAATTTTTCCCGAAAACGCATTTTTAAGCTTTCGAACTTCATTCAGAATAAAGTGGTAAACAGACACGAGGATTTAGGCCTATTAAGGGCTAAGCAGAATTCTCGCGTTGAGCCATCCGTTGCGTTATGTGTTATCGAAAATACAACAACCACAAGGAAACGATAACACAAACGCTCGAAGTTGTTGTGCGCTGCGCTTCGGAGTTAAATATATTTTAACTTTTTGCGTGCGTTAACGCGATAACAAAAAACGCTCAACGCGAACATTCTGTTTAGCCCTTTATGTTAGCTTTGTATGAAATGTCAGTTTACAGTCGAATAACAGAGTCAAACTTGAATTTGGACGCCGTTCTCCTTTATTCTTTTACAATAAATCCAATCCTTATGTGTTTCCACCTTAAGGCGAAAGTGAGAATGCGAAAAAAATTCACTGGGAAAATTGTTCAGAATAAGTCGAAGGGGAGTATATTCACGTGGAATTGACATCCAATTTTGAAAAGTCGACTTTGCGATTTCATCAAAATTCCAAAGTCGATTTTGACTATTCAATACAAAAATTCGATTATTCGATTAGTCGAAAGTCGACTTACTTATCCCTAATTACCATGTGTCAAACTGTCGTCTATTAAATTTGTTAATAGCAAGAAGCTAATTTTTTGAAAAATTTATACAATAATTACGATTATTGTGTTTAACGATATTAAATAATTCCAGACTAAATCAAAGCGACAAATCCCGTTGACAAAATGGTCGTAACCGAAAGCGAAAAGGTAAGATGTGATTTGGAAAAAATGTGTTAAATGGGCTGTGGTGTTCTGTCTGCCCTACAAAAAAAACCTAGACGTCGTGGAATTTTCTTTCTATACATAAGCAATGCGTGTGTGTGTGGCTGGGTTCGCCTTGCCCCTTGGATCTTGCCTAGAATTGTAATTTTCTTATTATCTGCTTCAGTTCACCATGAAGAATGACAAATTTGTTGTTTTATTTAAAAATAGTGTTGCAAAGCATCATCTATGAATGTTGCACCATCGATATGTGCCCAACGTAAACTTCTATTGGTTACTTCCTCATAGATTAGAACTGGAAATGACATCGTGTTGGTTTGGATATTGATTTACATATTTTTGTTATTAAAAGTCTGTCTATGAATCATATATGTGTGTATGTGTGTTATATATACATATATGGGAAAAAGCCAAGATAAATATGATTACATTTCATGTCCAAGGATAGATACATCCACTTTACAAAAGGGAGATCTAATTGGAATATATTTAAAAATGCAACAATGTGGCATTCCACCAAACACATTTCAAAACACCACCTACTATCGTAGTGGTGGAGTAAATAAGTCGCTTTAAAAGTATTTAGACCAAAACGCCACGTTTCTTGAAAAGGTCATGGAATTGTTTAATGACATTGGTTACTTACAGACAAAGCAGATGTCTCAATCAATAGTGTCTGAAATATATTTGGAGTAAAAACAAAATTGATATATCGAATAAAAAGGCGTTATTCCTGAGCATGATTATTTTACAGTGTGCATCGATTTACTATATATATTACTCTCCTCTTAGTATCAGTAGCAGTTAGTTATCATTGTAGCCGCTTCACACATTGACCATTAATTACTGAGATAAGTATTGACAGATATTGTTAAATTTGACGGAACCATGACGCTATACCTTGGACACATTCGAATCCCGAGTTATAGCCACTTTTTTGAATCCCAAAGCGTACGTTACAGAAGGTCGTATTTCGGAATTTCAATTATCAGCAGCAGTAGTTTATTAAACGATTGTGTTCTTTAGAAGCAATCACTGTTGGTTTCTACTATCTACTACTTTTTACTTAGTACTGGACAGACCATGTGTGACACTTATGTAGTAATACGACATACGTTTTGTCTCTATTAAAATAATGTAACCATCGCTCTAAGGTCTTCCACAAATACAATTAACAAAAAATTGCCAAGCACACATTCCTAAAACATACTTAAGCCACATTTTGTAATAAATTATTTATTCCATTGAGAGTTTTGGAAAATGGCACGAACTACCATATAAATTCTTGAGTACCTTAACCGAGGTGTAGGATTTAAATCCGATTTCAGGGTGTTGACATAAATTAAAAAAAGAAAAACGAAAATCCATTTTCCTCAATAGTCAATAACGAATGCAATTTAGGATTATTGAGAGCTGTAATGGCTTCAATACTCACAAAGTTATATAAATAGAACTAATCGATAGAAATTAATAACATGAGATTAATAATGAGAGGGAGTAAGACAGTTTGAGTCGGATCGAATATCTATAGCACAGGGGTTGTTTCATCATATGAAATATCAGTACCTAACTGATATACACCAGGGAACACCAGCGCCAGTGTAATTCTTGTTATACATATATTTCTCGGCTTTAGTGCTGAACGGGCTTTGATGAAACAGAGATAAAAATGTCACTTGGACTAGCAGGTCATAATGAAGTCCTTTAGGTGGAAGTCCATTATGTAAAAGGGATTATCTGTGAAGTAGAAAGTAATGCGTGCGTCATTTGAATATATTACTGTGATTGTGACTGCTATATATAGGAAAACTTTTTGTATTGTATTGTGATTGCTATATATAGGAACACTTTTGTATTATGTGTCTGTGTTGAAGCTGCGTGATCACGTTTCTCCGTATGTTAAACTATTTCTGGGTAGTTCATTTGATCACTTTTTGTGCACCCTCCGTATTACAGTTGTTCTCAATTAGTATGTCTGTAAGGAATACACAAATTCATGTTCCTCGTTTGACCCCTCTGTTGGAGAAATCCTTTCATGTAAAAATTGCTCGAGTAGTCAATGGTATACCACAGGGTCTCAAGATCTTCAGTGGCTCCATTAAATGTTATAAGAAATCTCTGCTTGAATATTCTAATTTCCATGGATTTTGATGTATTTTCTTTTGTATTACTTGCCCTGATATTGTTGCTGCATACCTGATCACCTTTTTTTTTTTTGCTCATCTACTGTGATTTAATGTTATAATTATTCATGCTTTTTAAGATTCTATGTTAAAATATATCTATTGTTAGGTTTAAGATTTTAGAGTAGGAGATGTATAGTGTTTTTTTGAACCGATCTTGGCCTTGTGGCCTAGATTCCCATTCATGAAAAATATATCTATATCTATTGTTAGGTTTAAGATTTTAGAGTAGGAGATGTATAGTGTTTTTTTGAACCGATCTTGGCCTTGTGGCCTAGATTCCCATTCATGAAAAATAAATTGAATTGATATGACTTCTTAGCCCCATTCGATTTTGGAAAAGCTGTGGTGGATTTGTCTGCGGAATACTTGTCTCTTACTTGATTGGAATAACTGCAAAATAGACGTTCGATCGAATCTACATATCACACATTTAATGATGCATAATTGGTTGCTATATCAGGCATCATGTCGTGTAAAAAAATCAGATGAATAACTCTTTCAAACTCTTATTGAGAAGATGTTGAAGTTCCTTTTTTCCTTGTAAGTTGTGAGTCGATTGATGTCGGTCTTTCGAATGGAAAGCAAAAATTATCCTATTTGGAGGTAAAATATTAGAGCTTCAATTTTGCCTCTGCTGGCTTACGTAAAAATCTAGTCGGAGATGAAGATTTTTTAAATCCCTTCGCTTCCTTTGCTTTCATAGCAACTTAAATAACTTCTATCAGCAAATGCTGTTGACCTAAATCTATATTGTCTCCATCATAGCTTAATGCACAAGCAATGAATAACACACACATTTACCACAATACGACAATTCACCTCACAAAATCATATTAATCGCTCATTTATAAATATTAAAAAAAATAAGAGAATAAAAAACTCTTATTTAATTATTTGTAAATTACATTCTCAAAGATCGCAGTATTAACAAATATATCAATCGTCTACGCTTTCATTTGTTTGTATGCTCATTTGTACTCCTGAAATGACTAAGTAAGTGCATTGTACTTGGCCATGCGAATAATACAAACAAAGCAAATTCGAATTAGCAGAGAGAACAAAGAGTATGTGTGTGCATCTCATATATAGGCGAACGATAAAAACAATAAAATCTATTCTCATCGAAAAGAAAACAAAGAAAATTTGATGCAGATCACCAAATTGGAAGTTTAAATACTGTAATAAAAAACGAAAGCAACAAAAGCTCCAACAATAGAAACCCAAAGTGCAACAATTTATGATGGAGTAATATTTTCGATGATATGCCTAAGATATACGACACCCTATTTTAAGGTACATTGACCCCATATGTTAATCAAACAAATAATTTGGTTTGTTAAATAAAGTATTATCGCTGCAAGGTTCTGGATTTGCATAAAAAAACATTATAAGTTCTCAATGCTTACTGTTGAAATGATTAGAATGCTTGTGAAACTTCTAAAAGACCTATAGGCTTTCCAAGAAAAATGAATATCGCTGGCTTAATTTGTAAAGGCAACAAGTCCAATTTTCTAGAAATTGAGATTTTGATACAGATATGCATAATAAGACAAAATACATGGATCTAAAAAAATAAAAATACAGTTATCTCGTTTGTTATTGTTGTTTTGTATTGATGAGTAAAGGCGCTAAATCCAATTCACCACATATCTCTGGCTTAACATCATGTAAAGGCTCTAAGTCTACTTTTTATTTTGAGGATTTTGGACATGACTGTACTTTGTACTCATGGCAGTCCCGACCACTTTTTTCTAATTAAAAATCTTGAACCAAACGGGGCCGCCAAAATCGGAAGCTTATAATGTTAGAAGAAGACCCCTTTCTGTGTGTTTGGATTTTCAAATCTATTCGAAATATTGCTTTTCACTCTCCAGTTGTTTTGCACTTTAATAAGATCTGCAAATTTTGCTTTGAGATGAAATCCAAAAAGAACAACCTTATACTCAAAAGGGCACATCTGTCAAAAAAAAGGAAAAAAACATAAATCGAAGCACTGGGTTTAGAAAATGCTATTAATTCGACCAACAATATATGACAGGAAAACCAGAACTTTTCTTGGACCCTCCTTTGTATTGGATGACTTTTTCACGTGGTTATAGTCTCAAAAAGTTGTCAAAATGAACCAAATGTATGCTCATAGAAAATTGTATGCTTCCGTTGAATATCTTCCTGTCGCCTGATTTAAAAACACACAAAGTACGTTTACATTGTACCGGATTTCGTTAACCCAGTTGGTTTAAATTGTCAATTCCATTATAGATATGTCAAATAAACCATCATGAAGTAGGTTAGCCCGCTAAAAAGTTCTAATGTAAATGCCGTTTTAGCTAATATTTCAAAACCCAGCTAGGGGTTTTCTTCTATCATCATAAGCTTTCAGATTTTGACGATCCCGATTGGTTCAAGATTTTAATACTGAACTGAGTTATATGTCAACTTAGCTTAGATCTATATTTATAATATTTATATTCGAAAATGAACTACATATGCTCATTATATATAACGGTGCAGCTAAATTTATATTCAATAAAGGTCAACACTATGGCCTACATATAACGGAGCTGAACTACCTTTCGCATTTTGAAGGTGGTGGTATCCACATCTTCTAATCAGATTGGTTGTAATACGGCATTCCTGGTTAACAATGGGAAAGGATTGTTAGTATTGGTCCACTGATAGTACAGCTCCCACATATATCAAAATTAATGTGTCCAAATTGTCTGTAATGATTGAAATATTGCAATGGGTTGGGGTATCGCAAAATTTCTTTACATCTCTACTTTGTGTGGTACAAACGTTATTGGTAACCTGGAAGCTATACTCACCACTGTAAGAAATATTAATTTAAATGAAATTTTGTGAACCTACATATATGAGCAAACCACATATTCTTTTTAATAGCTCACCCATTTCGATTACCATCAGTTAGTTGTATATAATATTGGACATGACAGATCTGTTTACAAAACTGCGAAAAAAAACCAACGGTTACCACTAACAGTAAAATCAAAAGGAGGAATAACAACAACGGCACCGCGACTTACTTTCATTTCTACTCCAGTCGAACAACTCTCAATTGGAAAACAACAACAACAACGAGAATACTACTAACCAGAGACAGACGGTGGTGAAAGACTAAGTAACAGAGAGTAGTCAACAAACCAACATGGCAGACTGTCCAACCCGACTGTAAGAAAACAATCCAATGGACTTTTCATGCAAACTCCATTCTTGTTGTTGGATTGAACCTCGCTCTTTCATTTTGTTTGTTAGCATTTTATTTATATTTGTAATTCTTCTTCTGGTGCTGTTTTGAGTTTCTATGTTTTTGCTGTTGTTGTTTGCCATTTACTGTAGTCACTGTGTGGTGGCTGGCAGTCGTCGTCTTTGTGGTTGTTATGGGCTAGTGCCGCTGCGTACGTTCTTTACTCATTGTTGTGTATTGCCAAATCTGTCTGTATTCGGTTTGCGCGCTCACTCACCGACTCAATCTCAGTTGGGAAACACACATCAGACTTTCCACATCGTCGAACGGTGACGACAGTTTTGTGTGTTTTGTCGAGTTGTTGAGTTTAAACGAATCAGCAGATTTGTAATTTTCTGTACTTTTATTTTTTTTTTTAATTTACTATTCAGTATTCTTGTTATATGTCGAAACAAGATAAACGTTTGCCACTTTCTCGTTCATTTTGAGCAAAAATAAAAATAAACAACAACACTTGTTGTCGTCGGTTCGAATCAAGTCTACCTTGGAAAACTGTGTAACCAAATGTGATAGAAACAAAAAATAATATTTCAAAAACGAAAATTTTGTATTTTCAGTTATTTAAAATTTTATCTAAACTTCAGTCGTGTTTTCCAAAAAATAAATATTCTTCATAACCAAAAAAAAAACGAAACGAAAGAAACTGTTTCTCTTTCTCCTACATTTTGCGAAAAAAAAACAAAGCCTAAACCGTGTAACACTCTGCCCACATATTCTCAAAAACAAAAAAAAAATTGTCTCGTCCATCCGTTATATTGCCCATCACATAAAGTAGACCAGCAAAGAAACCGAGAGAACAAAACCAAGATCAAAAAGTAATTGCAACATCAAAAACAAAAAAGGAAAGGAGATAAGAGTGACTTCATCGATCTCAGATTGCAGGATATCCCCACATAAAATATTGTGTGTGTATAAATAAGAGAAGCTACCGACAAGCACTATTTATCCGCTGCAAATCAAGCAACCACACATTCGTACAGACACAAAAATAAGTACACTGTGTTTTTTGTGAATAATCACCCTCACTAAAATTCTCTTGAAGACAATCCTAATCTTTCGCTCTCACTTGCTCCAGTTGTTTATGTCGATTGTCTCTCTCATCTCTCTGTATTTGGGTGAATTGCTTGCCTGTGTATTGATGTAACTTTACTGCCATTTCATGTTCAGTTTGCTGGCCACCCCTCTTCATCAGTTCTAAATAAATAAATTGTTTGCGCCGACAATCGAAGAGCAACTATCCACTGAGTGTTTGCGTTCTCTTGGGTATATTATTTGTTAATTGGAACTCAAAATACAAACACAACCAACCACCCCACCTTGAATTGCGGTATTGGAGAGCGAGCAGCATTCATTTGCATTGAAGAATTTAGTAGCCTAACAAAGTGAACAACAGCAACTGAATATTCTCCCAGACGGCATATTTGGTTTAATATCTGTGTCATGATGTTCCAAAGCGACTTTCATAGAAAGAAAAATTTTGCAAATCCACATTTTTTCAAAGTAAGAAGAAAACGCATTGATATCATTTAAATGTATCTTTACATATGACATATCTTCCATCGATGACCATCCGCCCGAACGACCGACCACACCTGTGGTGCTGTGTTGTGTGATTGTCATGTTTTGAGAAGCCTTTATTAATTTTGTGTTGTTGATGGTGGTGACATTTGCACAATTTTTAATTCTATTTTTTTGTGTTTTTTGTCTTTGTTTATAGAGTTCAGCAACACCAAAGGAAAACTCCCCTGCTCCTGCTGCACAGCCAACACCCGCTGCTGGAAGGCCAGAAGCCAAGGAGGAGAATAACAAAGAAACTGAAGAAGTTCGCACAGAACATTTGATCAAACATCCCCTGCAGAATACCTGGACATTGTGGTATTTGGAAACGGATCGTTCAAAATCATGGGAAGATATGCAAAACGAAATTACCAGCTTCGATACAGTAGAAGATTTCTGGAGGTTAGTTTCTGTTAAAATTGACAAAGAACTTTTAAGACATTTAATAATATTTAATATTTTTTGCAAAGGGAGGAAGAAGAAGAAAAGAAAGTTAATATTTATTTTTAATTACTGAAAGAGAAAAAAGAATTCACTTTCACCACACTAGCCATGTTGTGTTTTCCAACTGAAATGTTATCCACAATAATACGACGATAACATTAAAACTACTTAACATGATGTGTGTTGCAACGATCTTTAAAACTTGGTCATAATTCGTATGGTTTATTGAAGGCGTTAGCAAACATATCGCTCATTGCTGCAAGACCGGCATAAATAAAAAAATGGATTTTGCAGAATATGCGGTTTAAGTTGCCGATTTACTCACACTTTATATGATACAGAGGACATGTGTTAGGTATCGAGCCGCCAATTCTTGCTAAATAGGAATTGAGGCGGTTGCACCATCGTGATCTTAGTTGGGCTAAGACTACTCTTGTTTGTCGGAGCAGCTGCTTCTCCTCTACTGCGATGGACGGAGTGGTCTCCGATTATGGTATTCACAAAATATTGCTCTACTGCCAGAGCGACTGCGTCTGTGAGAATACCATTCAGACCTGCTTTAGTAAAAACTTTGGACCACTCTCTCTAGGTGATGAATATCTCTCCTGACCAGCGAAGTAACTAGAGGGCGACCCTGGGGTTCCTGAAGTGTCTGCGCGGTTGAGTTCTGTCCATAAGACTATGACAGAGGTGTTCCCGACAATTACACCCAAACAAGGACGGGTAAGATCTTCGTCTCATGAAGATGGTCCCTGGGGTAATGAGAAGACACCCTGTTGCTGTTCTCAGGGCAGCATTCCGGCAGGTCTTGATATTCTTTCACTGCGTATCACTTACATTCGCAAACTACGCTGGTGCCGCATAGCTTACCACTAACCGGTCTTATACTTCATAAGAGGTCAACAAGGTTTCTTTGTCAGCGCCCCAAGTGCTGGCGGCTAGTGACTTGAGCACCGTGTTCCTACTTCTCAGCTTATCGCATAAAGCAGTGGCTTGCACAGACGACTTGGAAAGACTGTCGAACGTTACTCCCACTATCTTGGGGAAGTTAGTGGTGGGAATCAGTTCTCCATCAACCATTACGTTCAGTGGAAGCTTTATTTCAGCCGTCCATGTGGTGAACAGTGTGGGTGTTGATTTTGTGGCGGATATTTTCATATTCCTCAGATTAAAGAAGTTTAAAAGATCAGCTATGTTGTTGTTTAAGCTCTCATAAAAATAATGTAGTATGTTCTCCTTGTGAAGCCTGTCCTAAATTATTATGAACACTTTAAATCTTCTGAGAGTAATAATTATGGCTTTCAGGAGAACAAATTGTAGTGTACCATTAAAAATTGACCTCCTACGTTGCTGAAGCGCCACATAAACAAACAGACATATATTTCTTGAAGAGTTTTTTTTACAATCCACTTTCGTGGCTCGTTTCCAAAGACCTACATCGTCGATTGCTTTTTGTCTGAATTAAGAGGAACAGGGCATGACGGCTGCCTGTTCATGCAAGATGGAATGTATGCTAGTTGGACATTTGCACTACGGTATGTCACACGGTATGCCAATATTTTGGGCACAATAACTGCTTCTTGACGACCATAGTCTTTAAGCGAATATAATCAGTAAACCGTGCAATAGGATAGGACAAAGGTGTTAATTTCTTTGGTGTGCTCTTGAAAACTTATCACAAAAAATGTTAAGGAGTTTATTCAATGATTTTATTGATTTTTCAAGTTTATGCCTCAGTAAATAATAAACACAACACATGGTCGTACGTTTCCCATTTTTCGGACCGTCATTCTGACAGGATTTAAAGTTATTTCATTCCGGCATAGGTTAGAATGACCTGGTCCATCGGACTTCGTTGCGGATAGTTCCACATATACTCGCATGATAAAATAATCCACAAACTTATCAAAGTATGCTTTAACTTTTATCCAAATCAAAATCAAGTGACCTTATTTCAGTATTACTGTAGAACTTGCGATATTATTCAATTTATCGACAACGAAAATTTACTTAATTAGAAAATGCCCCCTCCCATTAAGACAATAAGAGGACTTTTAACAATTGAACCTATCCAATTCTTATTTACAGCCTATACAACCACATCAAACCTCCATCTGATATTAAAATGGGCAGCGATTATTCACTTTTCAAAAAGGGAATCCGACCAATGTGGGAAGATGCTGCCAACAAACAAGGTGGTCGTTGGGTTATAACATTGACTCGTGGTCCCAAAGCTGAATTGGATAATCTGTGGCTTGATGTGGTAAGAATCATATCATTATTACACATTCGCATACACGATTATGTGTGTGTGTATTTTGTGATTAAGAAATATTAATATTCTCATTTGTTTATTTATTAGATTTTATGCTTGATTGGTGAAGCATTCGATCACTCAGATCAAATTTGTGGTGCCGTTGTTAATGTCCGTCAAAAGGCAAACAAAATTTGTAAGTTGTTGATTTTTATAAATTTCATAAAACCGATTTCTTTACCACCCCACCCTATGCTTTTCTTCCCCTCTTTATTTTAGCAATTTGGACTGCCAATGGCAACAATGAAGAAGCCGCCATTGAAATTGGCCACAAGCTGAGAGAATCTTTGCGTTTGGGCCGTCAACATTTGCACTATCAACTACATAAGGATACCATGGTGAAAACGGGTTCAAATGTTAAATCCATTTATACTTTGTAAACTCATCATCATCGTTATCTTCATCACCGATCCTCGTTAAAGAACAACAACAAAAGCCTAGAAAACAATATAATGGAGAAATAACCTAAGCATTAGTCATTATATTTTTCATTATATATTTCCGCACGCAAAAAAAAACAAGCTGGACTTAAAAATTAACACAATTTATCATCAGAAGAAATTTAACAGTTCTAAGTTATTTTTTTTTAAATCGAGGAAACATAAATACTTCTGTGAACCAGTCGTTTTTTGTTTATTATATGAATTTTTGAAATTTTAAGTTTTGTGTTTTGTATTCATAATAATTAATAATACTATATATAGAATCAAATAATTCATGTAAACTAATGTCTGGAATTATTTAAATAAATTACACATTAAAAAATTGAAATTAATACAAAGGTTATGGTGTTTTTGTGTGTGTGTGTTTTTTTTTCATATTTTTTCATATTTATACGGCAAAACACCTGTAGAAATGTCAAATATATGATGGTTGAAATTAAATGGCGGGTCTTGACACTGTGTACCATCAGTAGCCGGAGTTCGGAGTAGAAATATATATATATATATATATTTGACTCTGACACCTGCTCCAATAATATTTATCTCAACTTCGAATATAAATCCCCTATTTCAACAAAAAAAATAAAAATAAACAAGTAGAAACGTCTTTAATTTCGGCTGTGCTGAACTTTCAAAATATCTAAAACCGATCGAAACATTTATATGGATGCAAAATTGCTGCAGTTTTCAGGGGGCTGCCCTGAAAACGTGACTATCGTGATTTCTACACACATTCAGATGAACACGGGATAATCGAATAAATATTTTGAACAAGAATATTTATTGTGTTCAAATCGGATAGTCCGTTCACATGATATTATAAAATTAGTTTTTAGCACAATTTTGACTATTTTCTGGCGGAGTTACCAGAAGGGGTGGACCGAGATTCCCTATCTTCGAACTTGAACTCAGTTTGGTAAAAATATTACGATGGGCGTGCAAAGTTTGGATGAAATCGGTTACTCCATTCGAGAATTGTCGTGCGCACCAGCTGACCAGACAATTAGATGGACAGACGGACATTTTTAAATCGACTCCGATTTGTCTGAAACGGATTTGGTCCAAAGAAACATGGCTTCTAAAGCCAATATTTCGATGGGGCACATCTTTACCGTATTTTTACCTCATAAGGCTGAGGGTATAAAAATGGAATTAAGTGTTAAATATTTTCATGCGATCTCTACCTTGAATATCATGACAATTGTGCATCGATATTTGTATGACAGTGTAGCACCAACAACATTAACAGCACTGGGAAAATTGTTGTAATGAATGCTATCGACGCTTGTTCGTAGACGGAAGTTGTTTAAAAACGGCCGCTGAGCCACAGAACATTCAAAACTTGCGTGAGCTGATAGTTCAACATCGTCAAGTGACATAGGCAGCCGTGGATATTACTTCCATCAGCATACTTTAGACGGATCCTCTAAATCACCTATTTTAATTATTAAAAATTACCTAAATTCAATATATGTGACCTAAATCCAAAAGACAAAACAAAAGTTGATGTCAAGCTCTCCTCATTTATTTGTTAACAGAATGAAGGTTAATAGATATATACATGCAATCCGTCTGTGGGATTAGAGTACAATTCTTAATTGTAATTGCTTTAAAAAATAGTATTGGTTTTTGTAAAAAAAGAGAGATAGAGATAACATTATAGATTGATAAGACTGCCAATATAAATAGTACATATTTATCATATCACACTGCATTCGATGATGCAGCCCATAAAGAAATATAGTCAGGATTATAATATTTGTATTTAGTGTGACATTATATCCTCCACCTTGCGGCGCAAATCTTTTCGTCGACAACTTTCCAAAGCTCTGCACAGCAGCAAAACATTTTGTCTGGGATCATGACATTCATCTTCCTCAAACACCTGCAACATCTTGTGGACACGTGAGACTAAATCTCGTGGATACTCCATTTCTATTGCGTCCATTTGACCTTGTGAAAGTTCTAATGCTCGGCCCAAGGCTCTCCAGAATTTTCCAATATCATTAGCAACTAGTTTATGAATTGCCGCACGTTTTTTATCGGTCAACTCTTGAGGATAAACACTTGGTGCTGGAGGTCTCGACGGTGGAGGATTTGGCCATTGCTGACCTTGGCCAAATCCATTTGGAATTGGTGGTCTACCCGGTGAAGGATTTTGCCATTGCTGACCATTATACACTTGTCTAGAGGTTGCTTGGGTTTCATCGTTGATGTTCAAGCGATTTTGAACTTCATCGGCCAATCTTTGTTCCTTATATTGATTATAGGGTTCAGTGTAGGCCACAGAGTCCTTTGGTGGGAAATAATTTGCAACCGCCTCTTCGAGCTCTTTGTTTTCGAATTGATCGGCAATTTCCCGCAGTGGTTCAATATTGTATTCCGACAAGGCGTCGTGTCTTTCCAAGCAGTCGATTAGATCCGCCATATTTTTAATACGACACATATTCCTTGCCGACCCAATATCTTCTTGTAGGATCGACTTTAAATCCTCCAAATTGTCTTGAGCATTCTTGTCATTGATGGCAATATGCTTTAATATGTCATAAGACCAGTGCTGCGCCATATTATTGACACGATTTTAAAACTATATTGGAATATTTAAAATATGTTGAACCACAGCTTTTTGTTCCTCTAGCCAATGAATCCATACAGATGAAGTGTCCCCAAGATCTGTTGTTTTTATCGGGAACAAGAAGTTAAAACGGATCAAAAAAAAAAAAAAAAGAAGAGAGATCAAAATAGAACTAAAAGATTTCGATTAACTACTGTCATCGGTTTGTTTATTTACATGGTACAATTATAAAAGGTAACAGCAAATCCCAGCTGATTTGATTCCAACGTTATACTAGTGTCAATATGAATCTGACAAATTATGTTTTTAAAAATCACCCAACAGGAAAATTGGGAACGCATACAATTTCAAATTGTTCTTTATTAAATGTGCTCCTGTATTCAATTTACTCAATCTGCCTGCTGGGAAAGTTTGAGGAAGCAAATCTTTCTTCCCAGCATTGTCATATGTGTTACACATATATATGGCAATGGCTCAATTATAGGAAAGATGTGGAATAGATAGAAATATAAATTTGATAGATTTTCATTCATGTTTTTCAATTTTTATTTTGAGGATTCGAAAATATTTCCTTTTCAAAAAAATGAGTCAAATGAGTTGACACTAGTAGAACTTACAAAAACAAATTTCCATGTGGTTGTTGTATCGTTTTTTGTACAACAACACTTGCTGTTACCTTCTATTATTATACCATGGTTTATTCATTTGTTAGTTTTATTAGGTACATTCGTTTACTATTTCAATAAAATTGAATGTAAGAATCTATAGTTTAAAGGGCTAAGCAGAATGCTCGCGTTGAGTCATCCGTTGCGTTATGTGTTATCGAAAATACAACAACCACAAGGAAACGACAAGACAAACGCTCGAAGTTGATGTGCGCTGCACTTCGGAGTTAAATATATTTTAACTTTTTGCGTGCGTTAACGCGATAACAAAAAACGCTCAACGCGAACGTTCTGCTTAGCCCTTAATTGAGCCATTGTCTGTTATTTATTTTTTACACTTCGGAGTTAAATATATTTTAACTTTTTGCGTGCGTTAACGCGATAACAAAAAACGCTCAACGCGAACGTTCTGCTTAGCCCTTAATTGAGCCATTGTCTGTTATTTATTTTTTACACTATGAAGAAAGAATAAAGAAGAAACTTTCCCAGTAGGCAGGTTATGTAAATAGAATACGGGAGAACTTTTAATAAGGAACAATTTTGAATTTTATGCGTACCAAATTTGCCTGTTGAGCCATTTTTATAAACATAATTTGTCAAATTGGTATTATATTGAAATCAAAACAGCTGGTTTCTGATGTAACCTTTTATAATTGTGTTCATGGCACAATAAATAGGTAGTCGTTACAGCACATCTGATGTCTCGATTAACTGTCAAAGGCGTAATTTCTACTTGAATTCGGAAAAATTTGACAGATGGTCGAGACAAAAACAAAGGTTTTTGTTTTCATACATCACCTTTATTATTGCAATATGTGCCATAGTATAATAATTACATGGTAAAGCATACATAGCTACCAACTGATTACAATTTTTTTCTCAACGTGGCCTGTTCTATAAAATCAAAATATATATTTTGTGTATGTGTGTTCACTTTTTTGAATACTATTGGTCTGTTCTCATACTGAAAGAATCTACTAGATTTTACTATTTTCTTCGATATCATAAAGGAAATTCGTTATCGCAGTAAAAAGTTGTCTTGCAGTACGGGAACATAACATATGTAAAAGAAATTAAAATTATATTTGAATTAAAATAAAATCTATATTTACACCATTCGTGTGGAATAATTTATTAGGTTATGGATGTATTCCCTACTCGATTTAGGACATAAATCTTGACGTTTTATTAATTTTTTCGCTTCTTATGTGTTGAAGAAATGTGATATAAACACAACAACCTTGTGCGTATATCTATTTTATATTTGACGAAGAAGACTTTACCTTCAGACTTTTTTTGTTATTCACGTTAATTTGTGCTACCATGTTTTATTGTATCATTCAATAATCTATGTACCTTCATAAACGATTTCGACTTTATATTAGGGATGAAGGAAAAGAAATCCATTATTTTTTCGGCAGATGACAGTATTGATAGGTATCTCGTAAAGTATCGATCAAACAATTTCAGATTTATGCTCTTTGGTGACATTTCGCAGTAAAAAATTGGCACATTTTACAGTTTGTACATATTAATTTAATTTATTTATTCACAATAATTTCAATTTCAATTTTTCGTCGACAAAGGCGAAAATGCAAGCCAAGCGGCTAAAATTTTGAATGGTGTTTATGGTTCCGATACTGCAACAGGCAATTATGTGCAATTTTGGTAATTTCCATTTTAGAAGGTATTGTTTAAAGCCCCTTTACTTTAAAATTCGAAATACATTAAAACGGATACATACTATCAGTTTGAATTCTCACTTTTTTTATCGATTACTGACTACCATGAATATTTTCGTGGACACCATCAAACAAGCAAAATTTGGGCCAAACTGTCATTCAAAAATTATAGTAGTACACCACTTAAAATTAAAAGAAAATAGTTGCTACTCAAAAATTATTAATTAACGATAGCCTTTAAATAACTTCTGAATTACTACATATAATAACCACAACAACCTTACAATTTCATTTATTTTTTGAAAAGTTTGAGCTTGAACTCGTTCTGTCGCTTGTAAACGCAGTGTGAACTTTGTGTGATATGTTGCCACATTTGACAATGTATTCAACATAGTATTTCTTTTTTATTTCGTTTCGTTAACGTTTCGTCTCTCAATTTCTGCTTCTAAACAATTCATTCCTCGATAGTATCCATCACACCTCATTCGTAATCAATGTTCGTTCTCGGTCATTTTGCTTAGAGTTCCTTTTTATTTGGCATTCTCTCCTTGCTCTGCTATTCGTAGCAGGTGGAACGTTTTTTAATTTTAATCGGTTCAGAGTACGAACGTTCATCGTCTGTCAATGATTTGTCGTTCGTATTGTCGTGCGGTCGCAAAAACAGATAGCAGGCGAGAAATCTATCATCAGAATAAAGAAAAAAGTACATATTGATATGAAATATTATAAGTGTGCATATGTATAAATATGTGCGTGTGTGTGTTTATGTTTTTGTTTATACGTTAAACAACGATAATGTGAAATTCATATTTCTTTTCGTATACAAAAATATGAAAATAAGTTCTTAAGTAATTAAATTAACTTGCCAAAAAGGGGAGAACTTTACGAAAGTGAAGATGATTTCTGAGAGCTGAGTGTGTGTGCGTGCGTAGTATATGCCATATTTCTTTCTAGTTGATGGGTTTCTATAATGACAATAACAGAAGAAAGAAAAAAATAAATATTTAATATATTTGTTGTACATTTGAGAAAAAGTTGTTTGTCTTTAAATCTAGTAAATTTTATTTGAATAAGAAGTATACTTAAATGTTATATTATGTATATATATGTATGTGTGTGTTTCTTGTTTTTTTATTGGATCCTTTTACGCCCTATGCCCATATTAATTTTGTCAATGTCCCCAAAACTTAATGTTTACGATAATTAAATTTGTAATTATTATTTTTCTCATAACTAATTCAAAATAATAAAGTTGTTGCCTTTTTGCAAATGTTTAAGCCAAATAATCCGCCCTCCCTAACCATCTTCTTTATTATTTCTTGAATAGTCGAAAGTGCAACTTCAACTTCTTTTTTCCTTTTCTTCTTCATATTTGTTGTTATGTTTCTTGCTTTGTTTTTTGGTTTCTTTTATATTGGGGTCTAGTTGGCTTCTATTCTTCGCAACATCGATGGGGCACGAAATCGGACGCACACACACACTCATCGACAAATGTTTACGCACACGCATACAATAAATGGTGAAACAAACAAAATTGGCCACATAAAGTGCAAATAGAAAAATGTCTATGAAATAACAAGCAAATCAGCAAACACAAAAGAATTTCCTCTGTCAAATGTCGAGGAAAAAACAAACAATAACAAAGCACAACAGATTTTGTTCTTGTTGGCTTGGCTGTGCCAGATAAAATTTGCTTGGCTTAATGCTGCGGCATTGTCAACATCAAAATCAATAGCAATCGATGATTGCGAACCAGTAATGTAAATGGGAGAAAATATTGGAAAACCCATGTGAGAAAAATGTGGAAAACAAATTGTGACATGTGCAAGGCGTAACACCAAAACGCGAAAGTCAAACAAACAATAGTACAGAAAGAAGAAAACAAACTATAACAAATTTAATCAAGCGAAAGGAGTACAAGTATTAAAAATTAAAAAAAAAAAAAAAATCATTGAGACAAAATTCCAAGAAATTATGCTATGTCTCTTATCAAGAAATAAAATTTTCAAAATTTTCAGTGAATCACAAACAGTGCTAAACAATCGTTGAAATGCAGGATGAAACCAGTCATCGGCAGAATAAAGTGAAATCAAACAAAAGAGTAAACACCAATAATTATAATACAAAATAATCTGCAAAGTATTTGAAAAAAAAATAAATAAAAATAATCATGAATGAATGCTGAATAACCCCCAATCATCATCGTAGCCGCATCATTGTGCGAATTGGTGTTTTGTTTTAATTATTTTACAATTTGTTTTCTTTAAACAACAAAAAATTGCAGCAACAAAAAGACAAAGAAATATTTGACTCAACAAAACACTAGTAGCAGCCAGGCAGGCAGGCAGCCACAACAAAAAGTTGGTCACCACCACACCATTGACCGACAGAGACCGTCGCCGCCCAACTAGCCCACCCGGACCACACGAACGAACGAACAACAGGGTAAAGAAAGAAAAGAGCAAAACAACAGCAAAGAAATGCCCTGCGACAACACAACAAAGAACTCTTCGGACATTGAACACGCCGATTGGAGTACTGGCACAAGTCAGCCATACCATGTTAGGTAAGACCACATACTATAGCCCATAGCCTACAATAGAGTAAAGTGTCGTCCTTCGATTTTTTGTGATTATTGCTCTAGAATTACCTGCAGGTAATTAATTATAACTCGATTACAATTGATGTGATTTACCAGAAAACAAAATAGAACTACGTCATTGAAGTAATAATATCTGAAAAGTAGGACATACGACAGGCAGAAATTCTGCCCGAAAATCCCTCATACAATTTCGAACTGCACAAATTCGCACGCTAAATAAAATGAAATGTTGGCATATCATGGCATTTTTTAATTTTGTCAAGGAATGTAATTGAAAACTATTTCCGAATGTTTGATCAACATAAGTCGAAAGTATACGGAAGTAAATCCTCGTAATAATTCATATGGAATGTTCGTAGGGGTTCTTTGAACACGGACCAGTCGTAAGGCTTAATAAGTAATACCTTAAAAATTATTACATTTGGAGTTTTCCGCAAAAAACCTCCATCTGTACTTATTAATTAAATTAAAAATTAAAAAAAGAAGTAAAAAAAATTGGACAGGCCATATGTATACTGACAGGTACTTAAAATGCAAAATAAAATTCTTAAACTACTGCATTTGAGAATGTAAAGTTATATGAGGCTATGATTACATAGTGTAAGAATTGACCTATATAGGTCAGTTTCGAACCCAATATTTTAGTTTAATATCTCAGGAGGTATCATTATATGGGGAAGATGCCTAAATGCTGGCCGATATATCTCATTATAGTTAGGTTCGAGTTTTTTTTATCACGAAGGCGAAATTATTACAACAGATGGCTATATCGTCTTAGAATTTCATACCTTGTACGATACCGTTATATGGGGGCTACCAGAAAAAGTCGATCTATATTATAGTGGAGAAATTTAGTACCCAATAAAATGTCCAAAGTACAAATTTCAGCGAATTCTTTTGAAAAACGCGCTCAAGAACCCCAAAATATCGAAAATTTGGGGATGCCCTTATAAGGGACCTATACCTAAACGTGGACCTATATATCCCATCTTCGAACTTGATCTGCCTGCAGATAAAATACGTTTTTGACCGATTTCATGGTGCATCAAAAATACTACGCCCGTTACAATAAAAATCTTAGTAGCATTTTTTGTATATACCCTAAGTGGTGAAGGGTATTATATAGTCGGCCCCGTCAGTCTCTATATTTGGTCACCTAGTCTTTATTGGGATTCCTATATCACTACTTAATTTTTTTTCTGTTACTCTTCCTGTGATAAACACCATCTTAATCTTTTAGTGGCCGCTGTTTTGTTTTCTTCTCATTTAAGGTTATTTTGTCGATTTCACAATTCTCTTGGTTTCCATTCAAACGCCATTCTGGTTAGGCTATGCTCATTCATTCTTAATGTGTGGCCAATAAATCTATTTATTTCCTATGGTGTTCAGCTAGAATCTCCTGCATTTGATCCTGATGCTTTTGTTTAGCTTTTGTAGCTTTTGCGTTATGGTTTTAGACACAAACCACACTGCCACATAGCAGAATCGATTCATTTACTTTTCTTAGTATGTACTTACCAATCTTGAAACGCCATATTATTATTGTATTCTTCAGAATAGCAATTTAGCCAGGAGAATAATACCAATCTACCAAAAATATTTTTGGTACATAATTTATGGAAATCCCTACATATTTCCAGTAGAACTAATTTCAAAATAATTGACTCAAATTGCCAGTCGCTCTGTTGTGAAAAAACTTTTACGTAAATATTAACTTTGACATTTGAATTACCTCCGTCGTATGGTCGGTCAGCGGATAATATCGACCACAATATGAAATGTCACATACTTACGTGTAATTTAATTGTCTATACCGGTATTAACGGTTTGTCACTGAATATATTCCATGCATTTACAATAAAAGTCATTAAAGTATCGCATTAAATTACGGCGACCACTACCAGCACCTCCACCTCCAACGCCATTGCTGGCTGGAATGGAATGGGAAAAGTAATGGAAAATATATAATTGTAGTTTGGAGTACATCAATACGAACATGCATACAAACATATATATTGAGACGAGTATATATTTATTGAATATACGTGCTCATATATGAAAATAACGTGTATTCAAGTTTCATAAGTGTTTTGTTGGAATGTAAGTCACGATTATAATATATAGACATAAATATTTGTATATATCTTAGTATGTAGTACTTACATATATTTTTATAGCCATATCGTAAATATTGGCAAAATTCTAAATTAAAGGATGATATTTGTTAAGCACAAATCAATAATTTATGGCAATATTGTAATAATAAAATTAAAATAAAAAAATGCAATGCCAAATACGGTGTTTGCGATAACAGTCCCACTAAAAAAAGGTATTTTTATAATGTGGATTACTTGTTTATTTCAAGATATTATAAATATTCAAAGATATATATTTAAAAATGACGATAAAAACGGAAAATATTTAAAGTGAAATGGAAAACAATGACATTCTATTTTCAATTATAAAATTCCATGACGATTTTATTACATTTCGAAATTTAAAGTCTATGGAGACAAGACGATCGAATTTTGTTAATTTTGATCAGATTATATTATTCTCAACCGTGGACCATAGGACGACCAAATCGCGAAACTGTTCTTTGGGTCTGATTGTAATCTTAATCCTTTGACACCGAACTATATGATACAATGTTGGAACCTAGAATTTCAAATAGAATAACCGTTTTGATTGAACGACTGAACTTAAGATTTCATGGGTTGAAATCTAATTTTAGATTCATAGTTATAAAAATGAAGTTAGTACTGATACTCTCAGTTTGTTAAAAAATTCATTACAAATGTCCAAAATGTAAGTTCAAAATGGTTTCAGTGATCGGATAATAATTGTTACTTCTCTCCTTATTCTTCTGAAAAGCCTTGATGTTTTCTTTTTTTTTCTTGGCATACGGAATCACCTCTGGCATTTTTTCGACGTTTCACCATTGAAAATGTTTAGCAAAAATATTTGTGTCTCATGTTTTCAATAGCATTATGTACTTACTTACTTGTAGGTCGTTGCATTTTAAGTTGGGACATATTATTAAGCATACCACCTATTAAGCTCTGCTCATACATACATACGTACATATATCAAATGTAAATGTCATTATCTACCGCCTGTCCATAACGCCAAGTCTCATCATAATGAAATCGAGAAGTTCAACATACTTGGGTTCGTTTACATTTCAAAATATTATAGTCTCTTCAACCAAAAGTGTGAATATTCGTGTGACCTTTTTGTTGTTATAACAACACTGATAAGACAATCGGGATTGTTATTCAATTGTCAGTGTTTATTTTTTTTTACTAAATAAAAAAGTACAATTTTACAATGAATTGAAATCGTATCGACAAGTAAGGAGGGAAAGTAAAAATAATAATTAGGGAATTTATAGCACGTTTACATTTAACCGGATTTCGTTAACCCAGTGGGTTTCAATTGTCAATTCCTTTGCGTATATGTCAAATAAATCCTCATAAAGTAGGTTAACCCGGTAAAAAGCTATAATGTATATGCCGTTTTATACTTTAATTTTTACAATTTTGAAGAATACCTATTAAAATAGAACCAAATTCGAAATCTACAACTAGACATTACCAGAGTAAGGAATTCATATCCTCGTAATAGATTGGCTTGACTGGTGTGAAGGCCGCTTTTACAACCACCTACAGTGTTGTAATTTGAAATGTTTAAACGGCATATAAAAAATTCTTGTAGGCCCAATTAAAGGGTACCCCCTAATTTTCAGTTTTTTGGGGTATTGATCGTATTTGTCCACCGAATTGGCTGTAATTCAGTATATTAAGTATATTAAAATTATAAATACTGGTCCATTTTTCGGATAGCCCCCATATAAGGGTACCCCTAATTTTCGGTAAATTGGGGTTTCTTCGTGTGTTTTTCAACCGAATTCGCTGTAAATTAGTATTTTTTGGTCGTATATGGTAACAAAATTTTTAATACATACATCGAAATATTCATTTTCTATTCATTTTCGCCCCTATAAATTATATATATACTTAATCAGGGTAAAATTCTAAGACGATTTAGCCCTGTCCGTCCGTCTGTCCGTACGTCTGTTGTAATCACGCTATCTTCTGAAGGAATTGAGATAGGGTGCTGAAATTTTGCATAGGGTTGTCTTTTGTTCGCAGGCAGGACAAGTTCGAAGATGGGATATATAGGCCCACGATATATTTCATGACTTTACTAATTATTATATCAATACTCTATTGTTAAATTCGCTGATATAGAAGAGGAACACACTAGCAAGTCGAGGTTTGGTTAGGTGGAAACTCTAAAGTTGTTTATCTTTGGTAATATCTACAGACCAGTAATTGGAACATGGATTAGAGTGGATTGTTGAAGATGTCCGCTAGCTTATTTAAAACGAAAAGGCAAAATTTCGTAATGGATACAATTTTTCATTATTATTACATTAATCAAAACTATATTTTATTTTATGAAATTGGATTTCAGTTTTGATCAAAAAATACGTAGCCTATATTGAAATTGAAAATTCCAAAGGTGAATTTTTCCTTGATTTAGTTTTGGCAAACCTAAAATATGTCATTAATTGTGTAAAATACCCATTATTTTTCATTCCCAATCATTGTAATTAATCCATCCAAATATATCATATTTCCATACTCAATTATAATTATTTATTTAATTTTCTAGAAAAAACTCTTTTTTCTCTATTGCGAACAGAAAAAAAGTTGCATATTCCATATTTTTCCCTAATTAAATTTTGTTGCCTAGGGGCAGACTGTTGTCATTTTGTTATTCATTTATTTGTTTTGTTTTTCTCTCTCAAAAAAACACGAGAGTTCATATTTCATCTGATGTGGAAGTGACAAAACAAGCTGACAGCTTCATATATCCCACGCTACAGCAACAATATATTGTACTCCATACTCACTCTCTGATGTTTACATTTATAGATTTATAGTTGCAGTCGAGTA